TGTAAAACACATGCTTATTGTCTGAGTGAGCAGCCTGAGAAAATGGATGGGGTGTGAACAAAAAAAACAAGCGCTTCCCTGTCGATGCAGTCAGTGTTCAAATGTGAACCGGTTTTCTTCTCCTTCGAGGCTAATTTTGTTTTTTAAAACTTTTTGCCAGTACATTTGATATCGTCCATATTCTCTCTTTCAGTACAAACTCGTATACAAACACGTAGAGAGCATTGAACCACTTACCGTGTCCGATTTGTAGGCTAGAAATTATCAAAATAGTGAGCAACATATTTGAGTCGTTAATTCCCTCATCAGATAATATGAGAACTCATGCAAATATAAACTATCATTAGAAAATTTGGCTAAAAAAATCTCAAGAGATGGCAAAGTTCCCACACACCAGATGATTGCTTATCTGTTTCCTATTTGCCTGACCGCATTTGTGTATAAACATCGTGACAACACGGAATCTAAAACTGTGTCAGGACACAGACTTTTATCGCTCACTGTTTTAGATGTGTTTGTAACCTTCTTCTTCTTCTTTTGTCAAAATCTGCTTGTGCCGCTAGGCGTCGCAGTATAACTTATCAATGTATTTTATTTTTGCTTTCAAATCGTGGGTCAGAGTTCAGTGGAAGATAAAACCACGGCAAGTTTGTGCTGACGTAACTGTACTCACAGAGAAAAACGGTTTACAGTCATCGGAAAGGCAGACTAGATTGTTTGGGTTCGTTATAAAAGAGGGAAAAACTACACGGTGCCTTAGCAATAGACAGGTTAGAGGAGAACAGAAGCAGGGGGGGGGGAATACCAAGGGAAAGTGGGATACCAAGGGGCAGGGGGGATACCAAGGGGCAGTGGGGGATACCAAGGGGCAGGGGGCTACCAAGGGGCAGGGGGGATACCAAGGGGCAGGGGATACCAAGGGGCAGGGGGATATACCAAGGGGCAGGGGGGATACCAAGGGGCAGGGGGGATACCCAAGGGGGGATACCAAGGGGCAGGGGGATACCAAGGGGGGATACCAAGGGGATATACCAAGGGGGGATACCAAGGGGCAGGGGGATACCAAGGGGGGATACTCAAGGGGGGATACCAAGGGGGGATACCAAGGGGCAGGGGGGGATACCAAGGGGGGATACCAGGGGGGATACCAAGGGGCAGGGGGGGATACCAAGGGGGGATACCAAGGGGCAGGGGGATACCAAGGGGGGATACCAAGGGGGGATACCAAGGGGGGATACCAAGGGGGGATACCAAGGGGCAGGGGGGATACCAAGGGGCAGGGGGGATACCAAGGGGCAGGGGGGATACCAAGGGGCAGGGGGGATACCAAGGGGCAGGGGGATACCAAGGGGCAGGGGGGATACCAAGGGGCAGGGGGGATACCAAGGGGCAGGGGGGATACCAAGGGGGTATACCAAGGGGGGATACCAAGGGGGGATACCAAGGGGGGATACCAAGGGGGGGATACCAAGGGGGGATACCAAGGGGGGATACCAAGGGGGGATACCAAGGGAGATACCAAGGGGCAGTGGGGATACCAAGGGGGGATACCAAGGGGGGGGATACCAAGGGGGGATACCAAGGGGGGATACCAAGGGGGATACCAAGGGAGATACCAAGGGGCAGTGGGGATACCAAGGGGGGATACCAAGGGGGATACCAAGGGGGGATACCCAAGGGGGGATACCAAGGGGGGGATACCAAGGGGGATACCAAGGGGGATACCAAGGGAGATACCAAGGGGCAGTGGGGAGACCAAGGGGGGATACCAAGGGAGATACCAAGGGGCAGTGGGGATACCAAGGGGGGATACCAAGGGGGTATACCAAGGGAGATACCAAGGGGGGATACCAAGGGGGGATACCAAGGGAGATACCAAGGGGGCAGTGGGGATACCAAGGGGGGATACCAAAGGGGGATACCAAGGGAGATACCAAGGGGCAGTGGGGATAACCAAGGGGGGATACCAAGGGAGATACCAAGGGGCAGTGGGGATACCAAGGGGGTATACCAAGGGGGGATACCAAGGGGGGATACCAAGGGGGGATACCAAGGGGCGTGGGGGATACCAAGGGGGGATAACCAAGGGGGGATAACCACCAGGGGGATACCAAGGGGGATACCAAGGGGGGATACCAAGGGGGGATACCAAGGGGGGATACCAAGGGGCAGTGGGGGATACCAAGGGGGGTTTACCAAGGGGCAGTGGGGATACCAAGGGGGGATACCAAAGGGGGGATACCAAGGGGGGATACCAAGGGGGTATACCAAGGGGGATACCATGGGCCAGTGGGGGATACCAAGGGGGGATACCAAGGGGGGATACCAAAGGGGGATACCAAGGGGGGATACCAAGGGGCAGTGAGGATACCAAGGGGGCAGTGGGGATACCAAGGGAGATACCAAGTGGGGGAATACCAAGGGGGGATACTAAGGTGCAGTGGGGATACCAAGGGGGGATACCAAGGGCAGTGGGGATACCAAGGGGGCAGTGGGGATACCAAAGGGAGATACCAAGTGGGGGATACCAAGGGGGGATACCAAGTGAGATACCAAGGGGCAGTGGGGATACCAAGGGAGATACCAAGGGGGGATACCAAGGGGGGATACCAAGGGGCAGTGGGGATACCAAGGGGCAGTGGGGATACCAAGGGAGATACCAAGTGGGGGATACCAAGGGGGGATACCAGGGGGCAGTGAGCTTAGGATACCAAGGGGGGATACCAAGGGGCAGTGAGGGATACCAAGGGGGGATACCAAAGGGGCAGTGGGGATACCAAGGGGCAGTGGGGATACCAAGGGGCAGTGGGGATACCAAGGGGCAGTGGGGATACCAAGGGCAGTGGGGGATAACAAGGGGGGATACCAAAGGGGGGATACCAAGGGGGGATACCAAGGGGCAGTGGGGGATACCATGGGGGGATACCAAGGGGGTATACCAAGGGGGGATACCATGGGGCAGTGGGGGATACCAAGGGGGGATACCAAGGGGGGATACCAAGGGGGGATACCAAGGGTGGATACCAAGGGGCAGTGGGGTATACCCAGTGAGAGAGATACAATGTATGCGAAGAATACCAAGGAAGTCAATGATATCATACGAGAGAGGTATGCTAAAGAAAAGGAGAATAGCAAAGGTGAGAACGATGGCGTCTGAGATATGGAAACCAATGGATAGAGGGATACCAAGTGAGAGGAGGGTTATAAAGGAGGAAAGGATACCAAGAAAGTGATGGATACCAAGGGAGAGAGGGATACTACGGGAGGCAGAAGACAGTTTGACATCATGTCACGGAAGAAGATCTGTAACGTAAATGACTGAAATGGCGGGAGACAAGTAATGACCAACTCCCCATGACATGGACTAGAAAATGAAGATGTCATTGGTTGCGTTTCATTTCCGATTTCTGTTTACAAAGTCAATGGCAGCTTCTTTTAGCAGGTGATCTACCGCTAGACTTAAATATTTTTATTTCATGACAGCCTGCCGACGGCTGGAGAGCAGCACAGCTCGGCATGTATTCGTTACAGACTCACATAACATGCTTTGGAGAATTTAATCTAGTGTCCTGCGCGTAGAGTGGTTTGCATCACTTGATAAGAATCTGGTGTCCTGCACGTAGAGAGGTTTGCATCACTTGATAAGAATCTGGTGTCCTGCACGTAGAGTGGTTTGCATCACTTGATAAGACTCACATCAGGAGCATATCATGGATTGTCTATCAGGACATTCAGGTGTGACAGGTAAAAAGCAGGTTAGATGCTGCCGCTCCTTTTGTCGATGAGCTACTTTGTAAAAAATGCTGATATTAGAAGGGTCTCTGGAATCAAATGAACAAAATTATAGACACAGAATCCAGCTATGAAAGAATAATTCAGTAATTGGGGAATAGAGATTCTCGAATATATTCAACACATAGGGGTAAACAGAGGCAGACTTTAAGTCAGGTTACAGCTGGTACAATTAACATGAGTACTCTTGGTTGGCTACTGAAGAAGTGGACGGAGCGCATGTGGGGAATGTCCCGAATGCAGAGATGTCAATATTTGTTTTATTTATACCATCATTTTGCGGTCCAAAATTTTCATGCTTGCTGTTGTGTTGGTCGATCCCCCGCCATATACGTCTATTCCTGGAAAGTTACCTTCTATTAAAACAATTACCCATTTACCGAACATATTTAGTTTGAGCTGATGTGTCGAAGCGTTGCTGCACTTTGGATTCCAACCACTAACTAAAAGGTTGATGCGTATCCTTTACAAGACATGGCAGAACCAACCACAACAGCCCCTGGCGGTTGTGCGGTTTTTAGGCAAATTTACGTCCAGTAGTTTGCCATTGTTTCCTAGACGGTCGGCTTTCTTGATACCACTGTCGAAACCAACGCAAGGCGCATCCTGCAGCTGGGATCGAAACCGGCATCCCGGTATTACGAAGCGTTCGCATCGACTTGGCCTCAGAGCCGACAACCGATAACTATGGCCATTAAAAAAACCTAGACCGATTTCTGTCTTGCAGATATTGAAATAAAAAATTAGAATCTTGCAAACGTAGAACATGTCTTGTTTAATCTACAACACCCTGTCAGTACACAGGTTCAATTTTATAATATTAGGCAAACACATTCTTATCTTATATCCTAACAAACGTCCAGTTCAGACATCTCGGACTAACCGACATTTAATTTCAAGATGGCTGCACTGTCGATGATGTTTTCATTGCTCAGTTTTTGTATTACGTATGTTATCGGTAGGTAAACTCATAGAGTTGGTAGGTAAACTCATAGAGTTGGTAGGTAAACTTATAGAGTTGGTAGGTAAACTCATAGAGTTGGTAGGTGCTTCGGTGCATTCGTTAAGTACTCTCGTTACAGTGTGTGTATGCCCTGCACATTCTGTAGGTACTTGTATAAATGCACTAGTACATTCTGTAGGTGCTTACATGAATACACTCGTACATTCTGTAGGTCTTTGCATGAATACACTCGTACATTCTGTAGGTACAATGGACAGATAGACTCGTACATTTGGCAGGAATATTCTACATCCTATAAATACACTTGCATACTCTACAGAAACACGTGTGTGTATGTGTGTGTATGTGTGTATGTGTGTGTATGTGTGTGTGTGTGTTATACTCGTATACTGATATAACTGGTACATAATTATTACATAATGTAAATACACTCATACACTCTGTAGAACCATTGTATTGAGAACTATATTTTTAGCTGGCCTGCATTTTGTTAAAGTCTCGCGGACTGTCAAAGCGACTCCAATGAGTAATAAAAGAATGAACTCAAGTGCCGAGCACCTGTGGAAAGTAACCGACGCAGTCTTTAGAGCAGTAACATCGTCGTGTGGAAGGCGCCTGTCTGTCTGTCAACCCTGTCTGCATGAAATTAATTCGCTCTATCGCCAACTATCCTGCCTCAGGCATTCTGTTTCCCAGGGTGTTTCTCAGTGTGTTTCCCAGGGTGTTTCCCAGGGTGTTTTCCATGGTGTTTCCCAGGGTTTTTCCCAGGGTGTTTCCCATGGTATTTCTCAGGGTGTTTCTCATGGTGTTTCCCAGGGTGTTTCCCAGGGTGTTTCTCACATCTTGTGCCCATCTTTGTTCTGGTCAGCTGCTGCCCTCTGTTCCTGCTACCACAAGCTCCACCAGCTGCCCCCCCCCCCCCCCCCGAATGTGCGACACTGATGTGGCCACAATATTTCACTTTCCCATACAAGATGCTGTTTACGATCCCAGTTTTTCTTGGATGTTTTAAGATCCTTTAGGCTGTGAATATTTCTTGTCTTCCTAATCATTGTTATCGTAATAGTTCTAAAGCTTGTCAGCTCCAGAAAGCCCCTTTTTGTATTCCTCAAGGAATAAGAGACAGTCCACGACTCACATCTTCTTATACTGCGGTAGGAAAGATGCAGACTCTGCAATAGTTGACTTTGACTTCCTTGCTGGTGCTTAACCATAGACTTTTAAGTTTTGCAGTTTTGTCTGTGGATATTCTTTTCTTTTGAATCAGGAGAAGCTTTTTACTTTCCCTGTGTGTTTGGAACAGACATGATTTCATGTTCTAGTCCCTTAACAACGTTTGACAGGCGGATCTCGTCGTTTGTATAGCGGAGACATGGAAATCGTTTGCTAAGAATTAAAATACGAGTATTATCTTAAAATAAAAAATGCATCACCTAAATCAAATTTCTGGCGTACATAATTAAGTTATCATGCAAAATGTACAAACAAAGTGTTTATAATGAGAGTTAGACACATTGGAGGATAATCCCACAGAGGACAGACTCCAGAGTTCTAGCGACGATGACTGGTGAAGGTCAAGTAACAAATGTAACTGTATACTCCAGTTGCAGGTCACGTAACAAATATAGCTGTAAACACCAGTTGCTGGTCACGTAACAAATGTAACTGTATACTCCAGTTGCAGGTCATGTAACAAATGTAACTGTATACTCCCGTTGCAGGTCACGTAACAAATGTAACTGTATACTCCCGTTGCAGGTCACGTAACAAATGTTACTGTATACTCCTGTTGCAGGTCACGTAACAAATGAAGCTGTATACTCCAGTTGCAGGTCACGTAACAAATGTAACTGTATACTCCCGTTGCAGGTCACGTAATAAATGTAGCTGTATACTCCTGTTGCAGGTCACGTAACAAATGTAGCTGTATACTCCAGTTGCAGGTCACGTAACAAATGTAACTGTATACTCCCGTTGCAGGTCACATAACAAATGTAACTGTATACTCCAGTTGCAGGTCAAGTAACAAATGTAACTGTATTTTCCCCAGCCGCAGGTCAAGTAACAAATGTAACTGTATTTTCCCCAGCCGCAGGTCAAGTAACAAATGTAACTGTATACTCCAGTTGCAGGTCAAGTAACAAATGTAACTGTATTTTCCCCAGCCGCAGGTCAAGTAACAAATGTAACTGTATACTCCAGTTGCAGGTCAAGTAACAAATGTAACTGTATTTTCCCCAGCCGCAGGTCAAGTAACAAATGTAACTGTATACTCCAGTTGCAGGTCAAGTAACAAATGTAACTGTATACTCCAGTTGCAGGTCAAGTAACAAATGTAACTGTATTTTCCCCAGCCGCAGGTCAAGTAACAAATGTAATTTATTCCCCAGTTGCAGCCCAGAACTGTCTGCCAGGCTGGCACTTTCATGGCGGCTCGTGTTACGGTTTTGGCGAGTCCCAAGTGTCGTGGGGAGATGCGCAGGTCTGTTGTTGTTACTGTTAGTCGACAGATTATCATCATGGCACATTGATCCATCCAGTCCATAACTGCTCAGATCCCCTCTTCAGTATTTCCCCCAGCGTGTAGTGGCTTATAACACCAGTCTTTTTTTTATTGGTTTACTATTCTGCTTTGGGCTCCTATATAGCGCTTTTGTCTGGCTTCACCAATTCTGAAGTTATCTTCGTGTAGTCACGTCAGTGTTGCAGATTCAAAATCATTACTTGATTCGTTAAATCGAGCCGCCTCTGAGAGCGCTCAGTATATCAGCCATGTCCATTGCTCGTCCGTTTCCCACATTAGCATCACTTGCAAGTCTGTCAGCGCGTTCATTGCCCTCTACACCAGAATCCCACAGAACATATATGAAGCTGATGTTGTTACTGTACAACTGGCGGTCCACAGGCCACTTATGGCCAGCGGAGACCTAGCAAGTGGACTTCGAATCATTGCCAGCTGTACTGCATTTTTGAGCTTTCTATGATGGAGTCTCGGCCTGTGGCCCCTGACGATCCCCATTTTGAACATTTTGTTCCCTCAGTAAATTTAGTTAAATAGCCCTTTTGTACAGGCTAACATATTTAGTTAGTGTACGACACTTTACCGTACTTGGTTAATAACTGGCGCTTTACCGTGCTTGGTTAATAACTGGTACTTTACCGTGCTTGGTTAATAACTGGCACTTTACAGTGATTGGTTAATTACTGGCACTTTACCGTGCTTGGTTAATTACTGGCACTTTACCGTACTTGGTTAATTACTGCACTTTACCGTACTTGGTTAATTACTGGCACTTTACCGTGCTTGGTTAATAACTGCACTTTACCGTACTTGGTTAATTACTGCACTTTACCGTACTTGGTTAATTACTGGCACTTTACCGTGCTTGGTTAATAACTGCACTTTACCGTACTTGGTTAATTACTGGCACTTTACCGTGCTTAGTTAATAACTGCACTTTACCGTACTTGGTTAATTACTGCACTTTACCGTACTTGGTTAATTACTGGCACTTTACCGTGCTTGGTTAATAACTGGCACTTTACCGTGCTTGGTTAACAACTGGCACTTTACCGTGCTTGTTTAAGAACTGGCATTTTACCGTGCCTGGGTAATAACTGCACTTTACCGTACTTGGTTAATTACTGGCACTTTACCGTGCTTGGTTAATAACTGGCACTTTACCGTGCTTGGTTTATAACTGGCACTTTACCGTGCTTGGTTAAGAACTGGCATTTTACTGTGCCTGGGTAATAACTGCACTTTACCGTACTTGGTTAATAACTGGTTCTTTACCGTGCTTGGTTAAGAACTGGCATTTTACTGTGCCTGGGTAATAACTGCACTTTACCGTACTTGGTTAATAACTGGTTCTTTACCGTTCCTGGTTTATAACTGGCTCTTTATTGTACATATGTTCTAGAATAGGTGTCAGGAAATGTTCTAGAATGTAAGACGACCCCTTTGATATTGATGACAAGATCTATAGAACTAGGTGGTTTGCCAATTTATGTCCTGTAAACCACTAGAAGGGGAAACATGCCGTTCAGCTCTTTTGTGTCACCTATGAGTTCACGAGCGGCGTCCGTGGCTAAGGCGTTGCGAGTCTGACTCGTAAGCCAGCATACAGCGATCGAAACCCACTGCAGGCTGCGTGGATTTTTGTCGTGGTATGGGGACGTCACAGGTCGACCCAGCCTAAAATGGGTACCAGGATGGGCTGTCCTGGGAAAGTAAAGACAGCCGGCGTAATGCTGACCACATTACCCACAGAGTGCTGATGGTCTGTAAAAATATGGGACACTCTGCCCATATGCCCGATGCGCCGAAAGGCGTGAAAAGGGAACTTTACTTTTTTTTTTTTTTAATGAGTTCACGACCCGATATATATGTGCTCATCAAACTTACGGTACAATGAATACATATGTAATCACAGCCACGTAGACTCCACCCCCACCCCCCCCCCACACTCACCCACATTCATTGTAGATGCGTTTAGTCACCTACCCACACACACAAAAATATATGCATTTAGTCACCCACCCACCCACAAAGACTTCAACCGTTTTTAGTGATCCACTCAGCCAGATAGATTGTATATAGATTCAGTCACTATATAGATTTAGTCACACCACCAATAAACACACAGTGCAAATACATTTAGGGTATTATTCACGAAAGTCACCCTATCTCGTCGGCGGCGAGATTTCCTAGCGGTTACTTAGAGCTGTCCTATGTTGTGCTAAAAAGTCCCAGAGGAAATTGTGCAGCTTTCTTATCGCAACTTAGAAACTCACTTGTCTCCTTTCTATGTCTTTCACAAATTGACTTGTCTCGTGTCTTGTGTCTGCGATAAATTCACTTGTCTCGTGTCTTGTGTCTGCCGCAAACTCACTTGTTTAGTGTTTTATGTCTCCCACAAACTCACTTGTCTCGTCTCTTGTGTCAGCCACAAACTCACTTTTCTCGTGTTTTGTGTCTCCCAAAAACTCACTTGTTTGGTGTCTTGTGTCTGCCACAAACTCACGTGTTTTGTGTCTTGTGTCTTGTTTCCTACAGGAACTGTGTTATGCTTTCAAAGGAAAACTGGCAGAGATCGAGACTGTGGAAGAAAACATGTTTCTGAAGAACATGGCCAAGACTAGACAAGGTAGGGACAGTTGTATGTTTTTGTACTTCAACTTGAAGCTGATTATAAGTTATAAGATGAACGACAACAGGAGAAAGTCGCTTGAATGTCATAGACGAGTGACCTATGAGCTGGTAGAATTCCAAGACGATACAAGGGCTGGCATAGTTAACTAAATAAAATGAAGGCCACTTCTGACGGACACAAGCACCATGTGTCACTTGCTCTGTTGGTGGGGCTTAGCATCAGTGTGCCTACAGTCACTTTTCTTTCTCACATGCGCTCCGTCCCCTTCTTCAGCAGCCAAGGAAGATCTGACATGCCAACACTACCAGCTGCAACCTGATTAAAAGTCCGCCTTTGTTTCCCCCTGAGGGTTAGAGATCTTCCCAGAAGCTCTGCTAAGGCCCCCCCCCCCCACCTCTATCCCGGTTGAACTAATCTTTCAGTGCATACATTCTCTGTCTGTTAGACTGCGTTGTCCATTTGATCCCAGATAGCCTTTTTCACATCCAGTTTACCATAAAGTCGCTCACCGTCCAGAGGAGCGGCAGCAACTAATCTATCAGCCTGCTCATTATCATAATTCTGGCTGAATAATTATATTATTATAATTATTTATTCTCTTCGCTGTTGCTACGCTTGATTGGTTTATCGATTTATTGGCTCAATGATTGATTGCCTTAATGATTGATTGACTTAGTGATTGATTGACTCAATGATTGATTTACTCAATGATTGATTGACTCAGTGATTGATTGACTCAGTGATTGATTGACTCAATGATTGATTGACTCAATGATTGATTGACTCAATGATTGATTGACTCAATGATTGATTGACTTAATGATTTATTGACTCAGTGATTTATTGACTCAATGATTGATTGCCTTAATGATTTATTGACTCAGTGATTGATTTACTCAATGATTGATTGACTCAGTGATTGATTGATTTAATGATTGATTGACTCAATAATTGATTGACCCATTGATTGATTTGCTCAATGATTGATTGACTCAATGATTGATTGACTAAATGATTGATTGATCGACTCATTGATTGATTGACTCAATGATTGATTCACAAGATGTTGACGTTATATCATTCTAGTCACAACAAAACATTTATGTCCTGATGAACACATGTTGAGGTTTTCGAACGTCTGTTGATCTCATAACCCAGCAGCGATGGATCCTCCAGCCTTGTCCACCATGCAGCCGTGGGTGGAAAGCGCCGAATCTGTGGAAATATCCGATTGTTTCATTGTTTTATTTGCTGTATATATTTCACAGAAAGCGACTGCTTGTAAATGAAAAGCCAATGAAATCCTGACATCATTGTTCCACAACCTGACATCATTGTCCAAGGACCTGACATCATTGTCTAAGGACCTGACATCATTGTCTCAGGACCTGACATCATTGTCCCAGGATATGACATCATTGACCCAAGATATGATATCATTGTCCCAGAACCTGACATCATTGTCCCAGGAATTGACATCACTGTCCCAAGATCTGAAATCATTGTCCCAGGACCTAACATCACTGTCCTAGGACATGACATCATTGTCCCAGGACGTGACATAATTGTCCCAGGACCTGACATCACACCTGATATCACTGTCCCACGACCTGACATCATTGTCCCAGGACGTGACATAATTTTCCCAGGACTTGACATCATTGTCCCAGGATATGACATCATTGACCTAAGATATGATATCATTGTCCTAAGATCTGACATCATTGTCCCAGGACCTGACATCATTGTCCTAGGACCTGACATCATTGTCCTAGGACCTCACATCATTGTCTCAGGACCTGACAATATCTATCTCCAATGTCCTGATAAAATCAATGTCCAGTGTTGTGGCATCATCTGTGTCTCTTGTCCTGATATTATTGTCCCATGACTTGACATTATTGTCCCATGTCCTGACATTATTGTCCCATATCCTGACATTATTGTCCCATATCCTGACATTATTGTCCCATGTCCTGACCCAACATTCAGACATGTCCCAGCTGTTACAATATTTCCGCAACTTATCGCTTCTCCTGATGTCGCAAAACGGTGCTGCAACAGTTTGAGTTCAATTGTAGAAGTCCCGTTAATTTCTCTAAGACACAATCAATCCACAGCCCGCTTAACCTGGCTCGGGGCCACGGATATTTTTGACGAGGGCACCTGGGAGTGGGCCAGCACCGGGAAGGAAATCTTTACCTTTGAGGACTGGGCGCCACAGCAGCCTGACGAGGCGAACGGAGGTGAGAACATAGACAGACAACAGACATGGTGAGCAGACAGACAGCAGACATGGCGACCAGACAGACAGCAGCCATGGCAACCAGACAGACAACAGACATGGCAATCAGACAGACAGCAGCCATGGCAACCAGCAGACAGCAGACATGGTGACAAGACAAACAAGAGACATGGCAACTAGACAAACAAACATGGCGAGCAGACAGACAGCAGACATGGCTACCAGACAGACAACAGACATGGCAACCAAACAAACAACAGTCTTGGCAACCAGACAGACAACAGACATGGAGACAAGACAGATAACAGTCGCAGCAACCAGGTACACAACAGACATGGCAACC